GCCCAGGGAGGCGGGGGCTGCCCCAACCCTGGCAGTGTTCAAAGCCAGGCTGGATGAGGCCTCGAGCAACTTGGTGGTGTGGTGGGAGGTGTCCCTGCCCAGGGCAGGGGTTTGGGACTAGATGATCTGTAAGGTCCATTCCAACCCCAAAAATTCAATGATTCTATGATTGCTGTCCCCACAGATGGCCCAGAGGCTGGCACTGCGGCGGCTGCTGTCCCTCACCCCTGGGGCAGTGCCCCCCCAGGGCCCTCTGGCACCCCTCAGCAGGACCCTGGGCACCTCAGCAGGATGCAGGAGCACATTCAATGTGCAGGATGGCAGTGACTTCCAGGACAGGGTGGTGAACAACCCAAAACCCGTCGTGGTGGACTTCCATGCACAGTAAGTTCCCCTCATGGCTCTGGCATCCCCCGTCTGCCATCGCCTGTGTGCAGATCTGTTCCTGTGACTCACCTGACACGGTGGCGCTGTGGGCACCTGAGGGCTTCCCAGGCTGTGAGTCTGGAGTGAAGAGATGCTCCTTCCCCTCAGGCTTAGTCCATAAGGATTTCACTCAGCTACACTCGGTGGCAAGGTCAAACAGGAGTGCCAGGAATGAGTTTCCCAGGGTGGTGCAGCTGCACCTCACAGGGCTCAGGTGTCACCCCTGTCCTGGTGTTGCATCATCCTGCAAAAGGCACCTCAAGAAAAGACTCTGATGGCTCCTCTTTTTAGCTTTCTGCATGAAATGTGTTCCTAGAAATATCAGATGTTGTTAACAGCCATGGATGAGCTCTGCACTTGCTATGCTCCTGTGCTGTTAGGTTGTGTCTTAACTCCACCTGCTCTTGAGGCTCTGGATAGCAAATGCCTTTATGTGTTAATAACAGCCATGTGACACCAACAGCAGCATTTGTCATCAATAAAAATGTTTCCATCCTCTTGCCAATAAAAACATTCCTGGCTGTTATTTCTGCTGGATTAATGACACTGCTTATCTCTGTTTTTTTCACAGACTTTCTTAGTGCTGTTGTGTGAGCCTGTTGTGGCTGATTTTGGGCGAACAGTATGAAACAGCCCCAAAACGTCTGCTCTAAATAGAACAAACTGACAAACCACAGTGAATGTTAGTTGTGATCATCCAGGGAGGAGAGGGCAAACAATTGAAAGCTTGAAACATGATACAGAGGGTGCTGAGGAGGAACAAAGTTTACCAGGGCTTCAGTTTTAAAAGAAAAGGGCACTTAGAGCTTTAACTCATGTTAATGAGCCAACACTGGGCAAAGGTGGCCAAGAAGGCATCTTGGCCCGGACCAAACACATTGTGGCAGCAGGACTAGGGCTGTGGTCATCCCCCTGGACTCAGCACTGGTGAGGTCACACCTCAGTGCTGTGTTCAGTTTTGAGCCTCTCACTGCAAAAAGGTCATTGAGGTGCTGGAGCAAGTCCAGCCAAAGGCAACAAGGGCAGGAGAGGTCTGGAACACATGAGGAAGGGCTGAGGGAGTTGAGTTTATTTAGCCTTGAGAAAAGGCTCAGGAGTAACCTCATGGCTCTCTACAACTCCCTGATAGGAGTGGAAGAGACGTGGGGGATGGTCTTCTGCCATGGCTGCAGGGAGAGAACTAGAGGGAATAGCCTTCAGCTGAGACAGGGGAGGGTCAGATTAGATGTTAGGAGAAATGTTTTCCCTGTTAGGGTGTTCAGGCACTGGAATAGATTGCCCAGGGCAGTGGTGGAGTCACCATCCCTGGAAGTGTTTGAGAAGCATCTAGGTCTGTCACTGGAGGATATGGTTTAGGGGTTACAGCAGAGCATCAGGTTAATGATGATCTTAGAGGTTTCCTCCAGCCTTCATGGTGCTATGATTCTATGATTCAAAGCACCACAAATGCTGAATGGTGAGTTCTTCTACTCAGCTGCTCCACAGCACACACAGGAAAAAAACCTTTGTTAAGGAATACATTTAGTGCTCCTGGATGGTTGGACAGGGAAGTTTCCTTAATGCCTTTGACAGCTCCTTTGTGAGAGCAATGTTTTTCTAATCTGTGCTTCAGGAATGGTGTTTTCCTGCCTGGCTCTTGAATGGAACAGCAGTGGTGGTAAAGGCACTGGTGTACCAGCACACCTTCCATGGCTGCTGCTGCAGGTCTCTCCTCTAATGTCCCCTCTCTTCTTTCTCCATCAGGTGGTGCGGTCCCTGCAAGATCCTAGGCCCCAGGTTAGAGAAGATGGTGGCCAAGCAGGAGGGGAAGGTGATGATGGCCAAGGTGGACATTGATGATCACACAGACCTGGCTATTGAATATGAGGTATGAGGCAGATGAGTACAGGCTTTCTTTGGCTGGCAGTTCAGAGAAGGTCCCTCCCTGGGGAGAGCTGTGCCTGCAAGCTCCCGATCCATTGGGTCATTTGTTAATAGGTGGATTTTGCTGCTTGGCTCTCCTCCAGCTCTGCTGGTTATGCTGATGAGCATTCCCACCTCTTTTTCTGCCCAAAGGTGTCCCCCAGGCCTTGTAGGCATCTGTCAGTGTAAATGCTTGCCTGGCCTTGAGCAGCCTGAAGCATACACAGTTTTGATCCTGAGTTGCTCAGGTGCAGGGCAAGAATGCTGAAGTAACAAGCCCCAGTCTGTTCTG